AACTTTTATTTATTATAATTGTTTTTAAACAGTGACTAGCTTATCGGACCAATTCATTTTGTGTTTACTTTTTACCTTTATTATAAAATACAAATGTTTTTTCTAATAGCGTTATTAACTATAATATTGTTGCGACGTTTGATCGCATGATCCTAAAAAATATTATATATTTTTGTTATTCGTGCAGCTGTATAAACTTTTTACTACTAAAACGATCGGACAATCAACTATTTTACTGATTCAAAGAGTAATATCACTTATTATTTTCAATGTTACTTATAGTGTAGGATATTTTCGTTTCGTAACAGTAAGTAGGCTAACTTATATTTTAGTTAAATACCTTGCTGTAATTTCAGAACATTTTGTAGAAAATATTTCATTTTTATTTTAAGATTCAATTACTTATTGTTCGTTTTAAACTTGATCACGAGAAAATTTCCGATCCTGATGAAATGGACATTTTAAAAAAGTATACCAACCAAAGCAAATTTTTTGTGTATGCTTTAATGTGTAGGTGTGAGTAATTATTAGCTATTAGTGTATAATTTCTCATATTTTTTACCTATACGTTTCTTTTACTTTTTCAGTTTTCTTTGATATTAACTGCTTCTTAATCGTTTATCCACCAGTTTTAAATGCTTTTTTATATTCCATTGGTATATTGGAGGTTAATCAATTAACATTACCATTAACCGAAAATAATATTGATCACGTTGGGATGATGTATTTTTGCATGCTTATTGGTCAATCAGTAACAGTTTTAATGACAATAGTAGTTGGTAGTATTACTCTTTCAATGTTTTTGGTTTTCATTCAGCACGCCTGCTGTCAGTGTAGCATTATTATGTACGTTTCTGGTAAGATTGATTTTTTATTTTTTCCAGTACTAATTGTTTATTTAAAAATTATTCTAAAATATTATTTGTTTTTAAACTTAGATTAAAAATTCGTCAACCATTTCAAAGTAATCAGATATCAGAAAAAAAACCAAAATTTTTTAGTACACTTACGGAGGAATACAATTGGATAGTCGATATTGTAAATCGTCATAGAATATCTATTGAGTAAGTGTTAAATTAGAAAATAATATTTTTCTTTTATTCATTATAAAATTTAATAATTCCTTTTATTTTTAGGTTTATTAAGATGCTGCGAAATATTTCAAACGCTACTTATTTAATTGTAATGCTTCTCGCAACGATTGTCATCGTGGTTAACTTTTTATGTGTAAGTCAAACCACTTTAAACAGCAGTAAATTTTATGCAAAATAAGTTTAGAATTATTTAAAAAAAGCCGTGTACAATAAGAATATATGCATATATACATAAATTTTTTTTAATTTCAGATTCTCAAATTCTCGATATTTTCAAAAACTTTAAAAGATAAACTAGAATGCATTATTTATGTTACTGGTTCAATATTTACGGTTTATATAACTTTTTATCTTGGACAAACTTTGTTGAATCATAGCAACGCAGTTTTTGAAGAGTTGTAAGAACGTAATAAGTTATATTTAATAAACAATTATATAAGAGAGTTACACCATATTGATCAGAAAGAATATTACACGAAACCATTTTAATAAAATTTTACATATTTCTTTTCAATTATTTTTCTCTTTATTGTTTAAAAGCAAGCTTGTATATGAATAACCAAAAAGTATTTTTGTTTATAGATGTAACGTGCCGTTTTATACGCTATCTGTAAATTCACAAAAATTGTTATTACTTATGATAGCAAGAAGTCGAAAGCCGAGTTTTCTATCAATTGGAAACATGTTTGTCTCATCTCACGAAGTTTTTGCTAGTGTAAGTCACAAATTCATGTTGAATTTATATAAAACATTAATAACAAGTAATTTTGTTTTTAATTTTAATTGATTTCTCTTAGCTGTTGCGAAAAGCACTTTCATTTGCAATGGTCTTCTACAGTGTACAATAATTGAGAGCTTTCAAAAAATAGTAAACAATAATATGTTACAAAGTTCTTAAAAAAAAGAAAAAAATAACTTATAGTTATTTAGAATGATTATACTTAGGTAAATTAGAAAGCATTGTAACATAGAAGTATTTTACTGCTGTCTAATAACATTTGTTCGAAAAAATTAAAAGTTCGTATTTTTTATTAATCTTTCCGATTAGAATAATATTTAGAGCGAAAATTCATATTTATTAATGTTGATTATATATAATAATTATATGTATATAATATGAGATATATAATCAATATTTCTTGCTGTATAATTTTGAATAAAAACCCACAAGAAAGTATAAATTATTTGCAGAAATATATTTATAAGATACTCTATGTATTCTACAAAATTATTAAACATACAAAAGAATAAATTTGGGAAATAACAAGTATATTCCACTTACTGCAACAGGAAATAGTTTTCTTATTTCTAAACAAGTGTACTGCACCACTGTCTAAGTACAACTGACCAAGATTAGAATCAAACWACTCTTCTGCGCATGTCCTTGGACATTGAAAGTAAAAGGTATTTCTTCCCCTCATTTAATTATGGGAATAAACATCTGTTCCAATACATGCATACAAGTATAACATAAWAGAAAGTATTCTACAKAGAATACCTATAAACAAATAGAAATTCTTACTTCTAATTTTATTGATTAATTTATAGTACCTGAATCGTTACACTGATTGTTTGAAGTTCATGTTTTTTWTATTRGGTAACRATTTGAATTAGTTAGGGACATGTAGGAGAAAATATTTTGTTCAGTTTGTTTGAAGATATCGTAAGATACATTACTATGATTCCRAAACATTCTGATATCAYGAAAAATCATTTTTTTTTTTCAAATCGTTGCTTTCAGTTTTTATCGAATCAACGTCCTAACCGAAACGCCAGGGATCATTTGTTGTTTGTTTCTATTATATTTATCTACACATTACCATTTTTTTCTCAAATGGTACTTGACATTTTTATTATCCTATATGTAACTTTTATWATTTAATATTTAATTTGTTTTGTCTAACCAGTGTTTTTTTTTGGTCTCAAAAAATCATTTTGTTTTCAACTTATTACATTTAATATGAAAAACAAATGTTTTTTTTTAATAAAGTTACTAATTATAATATCGTTACGGATATATGTGTGATCACGTGATTCGCCAAATAATATACCAATATAGAAAGAAAAAGAAAAATTTTTTAATTACAAGATATTATTTATACAAATATTGTCTATTCGTGCAGATGTATGAACTATTTACAACTAAATCAATCGGGAAATCAACTGTTATWCTGATTCAAAGAATAGTATCACATCTTATTTTTATTTCTATTTATATTATGACTTATTTTCACTTCACAACAGTTAGTAGACTTTTATTTTTTTCAATTACATTCCTTGTTACAATTTATGACGAACATTATATGCATATAAACATTTATTTTTTAATTTAAAGATTCAATTACTTATTGTTCGTTTAAAACTTGATCATGAGAAAATTTCTGATCTTGATGAATTCAACATTTTAAAAAAGTATACTCTTCAAAGTAAATATTTTGTTTATACACTAATGTGTAAGTATTGATAATTGTTAGATGATAATTAATATACTATGTTTATATTTAAAAACAWATATTTTTGTTCTTTTTACTTTTTWCAGTWTTCTTTGATGTTAATTGCTTTTTAATCATATTTCCATCAATTGTTAATGTTTTTTTGTATTCCATTGGCAAATTAAAGGATAATCAATTAACAYTACCTTTAATTGAAAATAATATTGGTMAKGCTGGGATTCTRTATTATAGTTTGGTTATTGGYCAATCATTTGCAGTTGTAATCGTAACAAYAGTTGGCWGTTTKGGTTTTTCAGRATTTTTGATTTTCTTACAGCACGCTTGCTGTCAATGTAGCATTATTAGGTGCGTTTYAAATGTTTATTTATTTAAGTTATTATTATGYCTCGTATTTTTRGTTAAAATGTTCTTTTTTTGAAACAGTTTAAAAATTCGTCAACCATTTGAAAGAAATAAAAAATCTGGAYATAATATTAAGTACTTTAATACAGCAACAGAAGAATACGATTGGATAAGTGACATTGTAAATCGTCATAGAATATCTATTGCGTGAGTGGGAAAATAATCAATTTTATTACTTATTATATTTATTTAAAACTTAATAATTTTTTTATTATTATTTTTTTTTGCAGATACGTAGAGATGCTTAGATACGTTTCGAATGTTGTCTATTTAATTTTAGTCCTTCTTGCAATGATTCTTATCATGTTTAACTTTTTATGTGTAAGTCAAACCATCATAAATAGCAGTAAATTTAATTAAGTTTTATTGTACATATTGAAAAAAATCTTTCGATAATCGGAATATATATATATGTATTTTTTTAATTTCAGATTTTGCAATTCTCGGTATTATTGAAAACTGTAAAAGACAAAATAGAATGCATCCTTTATGTTACTGGTTCAATATTTACAGTATATTTAAATTGTTATCTCGGACAAAGATTGTTGAATCATAGCAATGCAGTGTTTGAAGAATTGTAAGGAAATAATATATAAATATAATTATTTATTAATTAATAAAAATTTAAATATTTTTTCATCTATAATAAAATATTATATATTATATTATAGGATATGTATATATTATATATATGATGATAAGAAATTGTGTTTATAGAATTTTAAATAATTATTTTGTCCCATTACTTTTTTTTCTATCGTTTTACATGTATGACTGTTATTAAAATAAATTATAAAAGAAATTTTTGTTTCTAGAACAAACGTCCCGTTTTACACGCTTTCTATTAATACACAAAAATTGCTATTATTTATAATAGCTAGAAGTTCAAAACCGAGTAGTCTTTCAATTGGAAATATATTTGTTTCATCTCACGAAGTTTTTGCAATGGTAAGAATTTAAAATGTTATTAATTCTAAATTAATTGTTTTATAGAATTATTATTAATATTTTTTATAGATGATGCGAAAAGCACTTTCTTTTGCAATGGTTTATAAGAGTGTACAATAACTCGGGACTTTTGAGAAAAACCAAAAGAAGAAAAAAAAAGAAATAAGTAAACATTTGTTATAAAAATTATTTACATAATATAACAAATAGAAAATTAAGTTAGAAAGTACTTACCTATCTTTCAGATCAATAGAACAGAGATAACTACTTGTTATTTGTCTAATATAAATATATTTGTTCGACAAATTTTTAAAATCGTATATTTACTAATTTTTTTTTTTTTTAATTTATATATTCTTTTTGGTGAACATTTATAATAATTAAATTTCAATTTATTGTATTCTTAATAAAACAACGTCACCAGATGTCTTGGTAATAGAAGCGTAATGATATTAATATAATATTAATATTATTATATTGAATATTAATATTAAAAGAATAAAATATATATTATTATTTACATTATATAATATTAAAAAAAATTATAATATATAATATTAAAGGAATATTTTGTTTACAAAGGATTAGTATTTTGTACTAACTATCACAAAAAATAGATTGTTTTCATTTGAAACTAGTGTTCCGTTCTAAGGACAAATCACGACTGACAAATGTTACAATCAAACAACACTTCTGCGCATGTTCCTGGCCATAGAAAGAAAAAAGTATTTTTTCCCTTTATTTAATTATGGGAATCACCATCTGTTTCAATACATGTGAACAGGTATATCTCAATAGAAAACATTGTAAATAGAATAGCTATAAGATAAGAGGATATTATTTTACCAGTAATTATATTGAATAATTTATAGTACCTCAATCATTATACTGATTGTGTTAACTTTACACTATTCGTAATAGATAGCAATTTGAATTAGTTAGGGGTAAGTAAAAGGTTGTATTTCGTTCAGTTAGCCGTAGGATCTCGTGAGATATTTTACCATGTCTTTAAAACTACGAGATTTAGGGAAACATCATTTCCTTTTCTCAAATCGTTGCTTTCAGTTCTTAACGAACCAATGTCCTAACGGAAACCAAAGGAAGCAGTTGTTGTTGTATTCGATAGTAGTTACCTANGGAATATATATATATGTATTTTTTTAATTTCAGATTTTGCAATTCTCGGTATTATTGAAAACTGTAAAAGACAAAATAGAATGCATCCTTTATGTTACTGGTTCAATATTTACAGTATATTTAAATTGTTATCTCGGACAAAGATTGTTGAATCATAGCAATGCAGTTTTTGAAGAATTGTAAGGAAATAATATATACATCTGATTGTTTAGTAATTATTAAAAATTTAAATATTTTTTGATCTATAATAAAATTTTAATTTTATACATAATAATAAATAAATAAATAAATAAATTGTTAATATATGAATAAATTATAATATAATATATAATTTTATATATCATATTATAAGAAATGTATATATTATGATGATAAGAAATTTTGTTTATAGAATTTTAAATATTTATTTCGTCCAATTACTTTTTTTTCTGTCGCTTTATATGTAAGACTGTTATTAAATTAAAATAAAATAAAATAAAATAAAAGAGAAATTTTTTGTTTTTAGAACAAACGTCCCGTTTTACACGCTATCTATTAATACACAAAAATTGCTATTATTTATAATAGCTAGAAGCTCAAAACCGAGTTGTCTCTTATTTGGAAATATATTTGTTTCATCTCACGAAGTTTTTGCAATGGTAAGTATTCAAAATGTTATTAATAATAAATTAATCGTTATATATAATTAATATTAACATTTTTTATAGATGATGCGAAAAGCACTTTCTTTTGCAATGGTTTATAAGAGTGTACAATAACTCGGGAATTTTGAGAAAAACCAAAAGAAGAAAAAAAAGAAATAAGTAAACATTTGTTATAAAAATTATTTACATAATATAACAAAAAGAAATTTAAGTAAGAAAGTACTTACCTATATTTAAGATCAATAGAACATTGATAACTATTTT